ATTTGAGATAAGTAATCGTATAGTATGTTGAATAAAAAAATAAAAAAATCATATTATAGTATGTTGGAAAAATCGAAAAAAAGTCGTAGTTTAGTATGTCTAAATATATGAAAAAGTCATATTATAACATGTGAAAATAGAAGAGTGTCTGCTGTGTGAATCTGGACTCGGTCAGTATTAATTGAACCCAGCTGCGGCTCTGTGTATTAGAATTTGTAGAAGTATTTATTCAACACTCCTGCATGATGGTGTGTTTCTGCAGACTGCCTGCAGGGGGCGCCACTCACTAACAATATCCCTTACATCTCTCTCATCCACATCACGCTTCAGAAGCAGGATTCACATTCCTCCCTTCTCTTCAATCTCAGATGTTTAATGTGAAATATTTAATCACACCCCATCGTAAATGTGTAAATCCTGGATTTCTTCCAGAGGTTTTGAAATACAAACATCCCATAATTCCTGCCTCCCAGCTTCCTCTGATATGAAGCTTTTTCACATCCTATACCATTACTTTTTAATGTACTATACTACAACTTTTAAACATTTTTTGACATACTATACTATGACTTGTATCACATTTGTAAACTATATATCATTTTCAACATAGCACACTTTAATTAATCATATTTTGTTACTTTAATCCTCATTTTTGACAAACTACATTATGACCTTTTTCTCTTTTTTTCAACATTCTTCACTTCAACTCGTGCAAATATTTTCCCTGGACCATGCTGTGACTTTTCCCAAAATATTTAGCCTGCAACCGAAGCTGAGAAGTTACCAAGGACACGCTGAGAGCTGGCCTGCAGAGTACTGCCATCTCTGTGTGTGTGTGTGTGTGTGTGTGTGTGTGTGTGTGTGTGTGTGTGTGTGTGTGTGTGTGTGTGTGTGTGTGTGGTGTGTGTGTGTGTGTGTGTGTGTGTGTGTGTGTGTGTGTGTGTGTGTGTGTGTGGGCATCACTCTGATGCATATGAAACTGAAACACACATGCAAACACCTCCACAACATGTGACTTCAGTAAATATATCACACACATGAAACACTTTTCAGTGTGACGGGGATCATGTGGAAAACATCCAAACACAGCTTTTTCTTTCTTTGCAACATGAGAAGGTCTTTTAGAAATGTGATGCCTATCTGTGAGTGTGAGTGTGTTAGTGTGTGTGTGTGTGTGTGTGTGTGTGTGTGTGTGTGTGTGTGTGTGTGTGTCTGTCTCTCTGCAGCCAGTTCAAACCAGTTTGTGTTTATCAGCAGGACAGACGCAGCCTGTATGGCAGAAGCCAAAACATTGTTCATGTGACCTCTACTGGGTGTGTGTGTGTGTATGTGTGTGTATGTGTGTGTGTGTGTGTGTGTGTGTGTGTGTGTCGAGCTTGCTGTTCTTGGTTTGCAAAGGGCGTTGTGTAATTAGTAGTCAAGGTAAAACTCAGAGTCACAGTCACAGATATGTAAGTTTCACACACACACACACACACACACACACACACACACACACACACACACACACACACACACACACACACACACACACACACACACACCAATGTACGCTAATGTGACAAGACCGGTTGTATATGTAATGGCATTGAAACTCATACTTCAGTACAAGTACACGTGTTATCAGTTCGATGTACTTCAAGTATCGGAAGTCAAAGTATTCATTGTGTACAAATATCTGAATCTATGTAGAGGTTTAAAATTCATGCAAAATGTCCAAAAATTCACAAACGTGTCAAAACACATGAAGAAACATCTTCAGCAACTTGACAACACATGCAGCATTCACGGTGCGGCAACACGGTTCTGTCGCGTTGAAGCTTGCCGGTGGGCGTGTCTGGTGCGCGACCAACATCCAATCTCATTCATCTCTTTGATTGGCTAGCGCTTGTACTGGCATATGATTTGATTGGCTAGCGCTTGTACTGGCATATGATTTGATTGGCTGGCGCTCAGGACTATAAAGCTGAACACTTACAGTTATGAGACGACTAACTCTGACCCAGAGACAGTTGTTCAGCTTTAAAATCATGAACGCCACGAAGTCTCCCTGGTCTCCCAGCTGTGTGCGTCACTCTTTAGTGTCCCCTGGTCTCCCAGCTGTGTGCGTCACTCTTTAGTGTCCCCTGGTCTCCCAGCTGTGTGCGTCACTCTTTAGTGTCCCCTGGTCTCCCAGCTGTGTGCGTCACTCTTTAGTGTCCCCTGGTCTCCAGCTGTGTGTGTCACTCTTTAGTGTCCCCTGGTCTCCAGCTGTGTGTGTCACTCTTTAGTGTCCCCTGGTCTCCCAGCTGTGTGTGTCACTCTTTAGTGTCCCCTGGTCTCCCAGCTGTGTGCGTCACTCTTTAGTGTCCCCTGGTCTCCAGCTGTGTGCGTCACTCTTTAGTGTCCCCTGGTCTCCAGCTGTGTGTGTCACTCTTTAGTGTCCTCTGGTCTTTTTAGCGCGTTAGCTCCGGTCGGCCACCGTACGTTTCCCGTCACAATATGAAAGTGATAAATATATTGCAGCTTTATTCTCCACTGCGTAAATAAAGCTCTAAAAATCCACTCCACTAAACCTAAACAGATTGATGTCTTTATAAAGTGCTGATGGGGTGTTCAAGATTATCTGAGCCATCCCACACACAACAAATCCCTGTTTAACCTACAAACACACACACACACACACACACACACACACACACACACACACACACACACACACACACACACACACACACGGCTGCTGTATTTATATCCATTTAAAAATATCCTGTATGTTCCTCTTTGGTTTGTAAAGTTATGAAACAGCGTGTTGTTGTCGGCGGGGAACTAGATTAGCAGCTCTCGTGAGTTTTACATCTGGAGCAGCAGAGAGTCAGCAGAGGATAAAGAAACAGCTGCTGCAGAACACACACACACACACACACACACACACACACACACACACACACACACACACACACACACATACACACACACGCACAGGCATGTGCACACAGACATCAAAGTGGGTTTGAGCCCCTGCCCTTTTTCTTCCTCTAGAGAAAGTGCCCTTTTTTTCCCCTTTATTTTTTTATAAATAAATTTATATATATCTACCGCTGTTTGCGCACAGTTTCCCTTTCCAAAAATATATTGATTGAACACAAAATAAAAAGATCAGGTCGGGAGATTAGACTGTGAAGCTCCGATGCTCTCTCTACCCTCCCTCCCTCCCTCCACGTCTCCTGCACAGCGGCAGTTACTTGACAGACAGGTAGCAGCACCTCCCACGTTACTGTCCCATGTTATGCCGGTTTTTCTTGGCTTGTTTGAAGGTGAGTGGTGATGAACAAATGACTAAGCTGCCAGTGCCTCGAGTTTACAGCTAATTAGCCAAAAGACAAAAACAAGTAGGCCTAACTGAGGCCCCGGCCCCACGAGGACGCATACGGGAGTTTCCGTTACAGTTTTGTGTCATATAGACCGTTCGGCCGTATATATGAATATGGCAGTAAACAACTACGGTAACGATAACGGGTCCCGAGGTGGATAGAACGGCATACGCAACGGCTCCGTTATTACGCCCTATACGATCATTTTCTGATAATGATGACGCAATAGCCCCGCCTCTCCCCACCTCTCCTTGCTGATGTGTTTTGCCAACAACAACAACAATGGTGGATCGCAGCGTTGCTATCGTGCTCCAGACGCTACTGACCATGCTACAGTTCTTTGTGCAACTACAGCAGCTCCTCCATCAGCAACAACAGGACATGGACACACATGTACTGCAGCTTTTCCAGCGGTTGGAGCTAAACGGAGCTGTCTCGTGTGAACAGGCACTTTCCGGTGTCTATTGCGTGTGGACCGAAGCCTTTTTTGCGATTGGGTTTTACCGTTATCGTCCTCGTGGAACCGGGGCTTAAATCTGTAGATGAATTCAGACATGGTAGTAAAACGAACACCATTTATATGTGTTTTTGGAAGTTTTCTTTCCATTAGAGTGAAAGAAAACATGGAAGCAAAATAGACCAAATTAATAATAACAAAAAAGTACACGAAAAACGATCTTTTTATAAACAGTAACTTCATAATTGTGATCGTTGGCTGCTCTATAATAACTATTAATTATTTATTATTAATAAATTATTATTTATTATTAATTATTTATAATAACTATTAATTGTACTAGTTTGTTGTCTGCTCTTGTGCTTAGTGAATACTAAAGAAGACCATTGTCTCTGTGTTAGCTGATTATTTTGTAGACTTATGTTGAGTATTAAACAATTACGTGAGTGTGAGGGTATTCAAATAAATTGGTCAGTTAGTCAGAAACTATATTTAACTTTTTGTTTTAAAACATTTTTTTATAAATTATTATTAAGTGCCCTTTTTCTCACTTGAGCTCCCGCCCTCCAAAATGTCTGTGCACGTCCCTGCACGCACACACACACACACACACACACACACACACACACACACACACACACACACACACACATATTGCATGGATTCACTGAGGCATGTTTTGGGTCCCAACATGATCCTATATTTGTCTTTGTTTACAAAATTAGCACAGTGGCGTCTTTCATGTGTGCAGAATGAGCAATTAGCACTTCCTGTTTACAGTGTAGCCACAGACAACTATCACTAATATCAGAATCAATATATATATACATTTATATATATCTTTTTTATCCCGGGGGAAATGGGGTTCGTGACGGTTGCTCCATTTAAAAAAAATGAAATAAAAACATGCTGTAATAAGATAAATACAATTAAAATATGTATTTAAACATAATAAATTCATGTTAATTGTCCAATAAAAATGAACTAAAATAGAAAATTATATAAAAATAACAAAACTATGGCATTTAAAAAATAAATACAGCATAAAAAGTGCCCTATTTATTCTTTATCTGACATAATTGCATGTTCAATGTCTGTCTGTGTGCACTGCTAAAGTCTTCATCTGCAGAGACCCATGGCTTTTGCAGAAATCTTAAAAAAAGTACACGAATAAAAACACAAGAAACGTCTTTATTTTATAAAATAAACCTTTTTATTTTATCAAAAGTTGATCATGACAGCAATAAGATCATGACAATAATATGTAATGCACAGAAATGGAATAAACAGCAACAGATTATATGAAAAACTAGTGCAAACAAATCACACATACAAAAATATATTGCACTTTGAAGTTTTTAGGTGGAAGAAGTTATGTCTGAACAACATTTGATATATTCATCTGTAAACATTTTTATCGTTTTGTTTTTTTTGCGAGCTCGAAGCTCCATCTTTACATCCATGTTTGGAAAAAATTAAATTAAAATACAGCAAGAGAAGCTTCAGAGCAGAAACCGACAGGCGACTTGTGGTACGATTTGTTGTTGGTCTGAGTTGTGCTTTGTCTCTAGACCCTGTCTGGGTTTACACACACACACACACACACACACACACACACACACACACACACACAAACATACACACACACACACAGACACACACACACACATACACGTACACACACACACACATACACATACACACACACACCCTCTCATACACACACTCACACACTCTTTAAGCTCGTTTTTAAGTGCTTGCGGTGGTCATTCTGTCTTGTTTTTCACGTCTCTTTTTTCTGCTATTTGTTCACAGGAAGTCATGAGTCCACCTGAAGTCCAGAACCAGAACCAGAACCACGTCTAGCTTTTTGTCCCGCCTCTAATGTGCCGTTTACATCGAGGCGTGACCATATTATTTGGACAGAATCTGCTGCAGCATGTAGGCAATCTGCAGAATATGAAAACCACCGAGAGGGAATGGGAATGTGACGTCGGCCATCTTTGGAGGATAGGGGTAACTGTATAAACCATGTCTGTAGGCACTATGTTGTCATTGGCTGTAACAGCGAATCCAACAAACAAAACAAATGAAGCTTCATGGAGTAACATTTTAATAGCGGTCGCTGAGTGTGAAAAGTGTCCAAAAAAACTCAACTGGTTTTGACCGTTATAAGTGCCCCACCCGGTACGCATAGTGTCAGTTTGCCATACCTTGCATTGGGACGCACTTAGGCACTCGTAAACTCGTAAAAAAAAAAGCAAATGTAAGTTCAGAAGTATGCAAATTGAGACACAGCATTAGCATGACTAGCCGACGTTTCGTTAGCATTCCGTTAGCATTACATTAGCATTACATTAGCTAACTTACTTCTATCCTGATGAATGTATAGTTGCTATTGGGCCTGTGGATCTGAACGTCCTGTACTGTAAGTTAGACATTTGCCTCCAAAGGATTTTACATTGTTAAAATAGCAGAAAATGTACCCTAACGCTAGCTCTAAACACCAGGTTGGCGCAAAAATCAGTAACAGTGATTGGTCCGTTCTTTTCTTAAGTCATAAGTAAAGACTCGTCGATTTAATTAAACAAGGCTCCTCCGTGAAAAGCTATTTCTGTAACGTACTTTATGCATTTGGTACGTACAACAGCTGACAGATTTTAAGTAAAAGCTGATGGATATTAATGCTAACCTCCTAAGATGGCCGCCGCAGAATGCACCTTCCCATTCCCGATAGAAAAACAGTAATAACGGATTGTGCAAAGTTCACTGTAACGCTCCCTGAGATCTTAGTGTTTCCTCGTCGGAGCCTACAGTGGTGTCAGAGAACTTATTTATTTTTTATTTTATTTTTATTTTTTAAAGCTCCAAAAAAACAAAAATCCCTGGTCCATACGTCACCGAATACTCAATGTCTGCTGCCTCGCTCTGGCCTTTTCACATGATATTTAATCTGGGGGCGGTGCAGCTGCAGGGTGACGTGCAGATGATCCCGTTAGCGTGGAGCTCCCGTTAGCATCGAGCTAACGTCAGCGGGACGGACACGTTTCGGGCCTCCTGACCTCCACGGGGTCTGGGTACGGATCCACCTACAGAAGGGGGGGGGGGCATGTTTACTGCTGAGGGAGGGGTACATAAATACACACACGAACACACACCCTAATGTCACACAGGTCAAGCGTGTTCGCTGTATGTTCTTGGGAAACGTCGGTAAGGAATGCAAAAGGGCTAAAATTGGCAACTTGGGCAAAAAACAAAACAAAATACCTCGTTTAAATTTAGATTGTTTACTCCAGGAAGTAGCAAAAGTAGTGTCAACAGTTTTAAGAAGATAGAATAGATAGAAATGGGAGGGATGAACCCCTCGGTAAGGGTCTCACATGCAGAGCACACAGTGACATGTGTTCTCTGCTTTGAACCCATCCTAGAACCAGGAGTCTAGCACTAGGAGCAGTGGGCAGCTATTGCACAGCGCCCGGGGAGCAATGGGAGTGAGGGGGGAAGGGGGGGTGTCCGGTGCCTTGCTCAAGGGCACCACGGCAGGGCCCAGGAGGTGAACTGGGACCTCTACAAGTATCAGTCCACTCTCCATATTTAGGTCTGTTCGGGAACTTGAACCGGCGACCCTACAGCTCCCAGTCCAAGCCCCTACTGACTGAGCCACTGCCGGACAGCAATTCAATATTTAATATTCCATTCCTCACATACTTATGTATAGACAATATCCTGCTTTATATTTTGTTACTGTACATTTGTAATTCAACATGTATATTTTCTACTTTTTTTATCATGCTATTTTATTTCTATTGAGATGTTTACATTTTGAATTGTTTATTTCTAGTCTTTTAATGTTTACTGTACAATGCCATATCTTTTTAAGGAGGGCTACATAAATACACACCCTAACACACACACTCTAATGTCACACAGGTCAAGCGTGTTCGCTGCATGTTCTTGGGAAATGTCAGCAAGGAATGCAAAAGGTCTAAAATTGGCAACTTGGACTAAAAAAAAACTTAGTTTGAATTCAGATAGTTTACTCCAGGAAGTGGTAAACAAGTGACAAACATTTAGGGAAATACTCTTATTGCAGAGTAATCAAGTCTCTCACATCTGTATGGTTAATATGAGGCCGTAAAGACTGCTAGCCTGACCCTTTCACTCCAACAACACTGGATATTTTGCATATTTTGTAAACTCTTTTAATGGTTATTTATTATTATTTTGTGTGTGTGTGTGTGTGTGTGTGTGTGTGTGTGTGTGTGTGTGTGTGTGTGTGTGTGTGTGTGTGTGTGTGTACCTCAGAGTAGAGTGGGGGGGGCAGATATCTGAACTCAGTGATGTAAGTGAGCAGAGATCCCCCCCCCCCCACCGACCTATCACAGCCGACCAGACAGTTCCTCCTGTGAGACTCTGATATCGCCAGCTCACTGTAACTGGGAGGGGCTGCAATAAAAAACACACACACACACACATATTAGAGATGCTTGTGTAATAAGGAGACACGCAGCACAATCAGAATCAGAGAAATAAATAATAAAAAAAAATAGTAATTAATTCAATAAATAAAAATAAAAATAATAATAAATAAATATTAATTAAAATAAATAAAATAACTCAGGATTAAATCAATTATGCTTTATATACAGTATAATGTACGTACCCTCGGGGGTCTCTGTCTGGCCCCAGCTGCAGCAGCTGCTGATGCTGGAGCTCCTGGAGGTGGAGTCGTGTAGCGGGATGGTGCCGATCACCAGAGGGAGAGAGAGGGAGAGGTTCAGACCGCCGGGGACGTCCACGTACACCTGCACACAGGAGAGGGTGTGAGTGTGTGTGCGTGAGTGTGTGTGTGTGTGTGTGTGTGTGTGTGTGTGTGTGTGTGTGTGTGTGTGTGTGTGTGTGTGTGAATGTGTGTGTGTGTGTGTGTGTGTGTGTGTGTGTGTGTGTGTGTGTGTGTGTGTGTGTGAGTAATTTAAATGTTTTTGTAAAATACAGTATGTACTGCATTACACACATTATGCACCATGACACCAAGTAAAATTCCTCGTACGTGTAAACCTACCTGGTGATAAACCTGATTCTGATTCTGACATACACCTGCACGCACAGGGAGTGTGTGTGTGTGTGTGTGTGTGTGTGTGTGTGTGTGTGTGTGTGTGTGTGTGTGTGTGGTGTGTGTGTGTGTGTGTGTGTGAATGTGTGTGTGTGTGTGTGTGTGTGTGTGTGTGTGTGTGTGTGTGTGTGTGTGTGTGAGTAATTTAAATGTTTTTGTAAAATACAGTATGTACTGCATTACACACATTATGCACCATGACACCAAGTAAAATTCCTCGTACGTGTAACCTACCTGGTGATAAACCTGATTCTGATTCTGACATACACCTGCACGCACAGGGAGTGTGTGTGTGTGTGTGTGTGTGTGTGTGTGTGTGTGTGTGTGTGTGTGTGTGTGTGTGTGTGTGTATGTGTGTATCAGCTGCTTGTTGAGCCTTTCTCACCACTTCCTCCTCCACCTGTGTTATTTTCTGTTTTCACTTGTTAAATGTGGTCTGAGTCTGAGTCTGTGTGTCTGAGTCTGTGTGTCTGAGTGTGTGTGTCTGAGTGTGTGTGTCTGAGTGTGTGTGTCTGAGTCTGTGTGTCTGAGTTGTGTCGAGTGTGTGTGTCTGAGTCTGTGTGTCTGAGTGTGTGAGTCTGAGTGTGTGAGTCTGAGTGTGTGTGTCTGAGTGTGTGTGTCTGAGTCTGTGTGTCTGAGTGTGTGTGTCTGAGTCTGTGTGTCTGAGTGTGTGTGTCTGAGTCTGTGTGTCTGAGTGTGTGAGTCTGAGTCTGTGTGTCTGAGTGTGTGTGTCTGAGTGTGTGTGTCTGAGTGTGTGAGTCTGAGTGTGTGAGTCTGAGTGTGTGTGTCTGAGTGTGTGAGTCTGAGTGTGTGTGTCTGAGTGTGTGAGTCTGAGTGTGTGTGTCTGAGTGTGTGTGTCTGAGTGTGTGAGTCTGAGTGTGTGAGTGACAAACATTCAGACAGCTTCATTTGAGCACCGGGGTGTACACGGAGTATGACCTATGGTGCGTAACACAGCCTGCAGGACACATGTGTGTGAGATATGTGAACACTGTGTACTCTGACGTCCTGCACACACACACACACACACACACACACACACACACACACACACACACACACACACACACACACACTCCCCATGTCACTCACTCATCACAGGACATGTTCCCATGTAGGGACAGTTCCCTGTTGGTCATCTGGAACATTATGTTTACTTTTGATTTTGTACACGTTGTCTGTAATATCTTGTGTACTTTTGTACTGCATCTGCACATTCTCTGACGGTTCACTGAATCCTAAATGAATATATTATATATTAACCTTTTTAAATCTTAACTTTATATTTTGCATATACTTCCTGCTGCATCTAAAGTCTCTTTATGGGTTCTTTTTATGTTCTTAACCGTATATATTTCTGATACTCTTAGCATCCTAACAGTATCCTTTTGAACTAGCTCTTGAGTACATGTTGCACCTCCTCCCTGCATCTCAGCTGTATGTGTGGTATACATTTTTAATAAGATAACATAACATAAGATGTACTTTGATGAGCCCAACTTGGGGAATCTTTTAAGGCGGTTATATGAACTTTCTACTAAATGTATAACCTTTTCTCCTGCCTGATTATTTGTTTTTGTACACTGCATGATAATTATATATTAATGGAACTTTTGGGAGTGTCTGTACATGTATGTATGAAACTCCTACTTCAACTGGAGGGAGGGGTCTGTTGTATTTCTAGTTGACGTTAATCTGGACTCACCACGAGGACGTACTCCACCCGGATGATGGGGCAGTCCAAGATGGAGGGGGACACGGGGGGGATCTTTTAAATATCTCTTACCTGTATATTTTGTAGAACTTTTTAATGCATTTAAATGTACTTATTGCTAAATGTTTAACCTTTTCTCGTGCTTCTTAAATTAATATTTTTGTACACGTTTTGCTGCATGAGGGACTTTTGGGAGTGTTTGTACATTATGAAACATTATGAAACATTATGAAACATTATGAAACATTATGAAACTCCAGAGGGTTATGTTATTTCAAATGAACTTTAATCTGCACTCACCACGAGGACGTACTCCACGCGGATGATGGGGCAGTCCAAGATGGAGGGGGACACGGGGGGGATCTTCAGCTGCCTGCCCTCCCAGCTCTGGCTCTTGCCCTGCGGCAGGGTCTCGCCCCTCAGGTTGGACACCAGCTGCTGGATCTGCTTCCCCTTCCCCTTGGCGAAGAAGGTCTGCGTCTGGTAGAGCGCCGCCTTGGGCACCACCACCCGGGACGAGCTGTTCTCCACCTCGCAGAAGATCTGGATGGACTCGCCTGGAGAGGAGGGAGAAGAGATCAGTCTGCCGGACTGAGAGAGAAGTCACCTAAGTGTGGGGAGGAAATTATTAAGATTCAAGGCTTTTATTGTCATTCGTACATAGCTACAGTGTAGATATGTAAATCTGAGGTCACAGGCTCCTCCAACAGTGCAATAAAACAGATACAAAAGAATAGAAATAGTGCAATCAGAGTCTATATGCAGTGATTGGAATAGGATATATTAGATACATCATTTCTAAGTTGCAACCAGGTGAATGTTATGGATGTTCTTAGTTCAGGTGTTTAATAGTCTTATGGCCTGTGGGATGAAACTGTCCCTGAGTCAGGTGGGTGTAGTCCGGATGCTGCGGTACCGCCTGCCAATGATCAGAGAAACTGATTCAAGGACAAAGTTTGTCTTTTGTTATATTGAACAACACAGACTATAACACGCCTTGTTGTTAACCACCAACTATGTGCAATATGTGCAATATATATAGGTGCCGTTAATAACTGTGTAATATATACCTGGCTGCTAAATCCTCAGAACTCTTACAGGATGTGTTTTTTGTAAATTGTGTCATTTTTTTATTAATGTAATTTTTGTAATCTTTAATACTTTTGTATGCATGCTTTAGGTAACATTAAGCTGTCTTTGGCTCTTTTCTGCTGGAACAACGTACATTTCCTCTCTGTGGGACTAACAAAGGTATTCTGATTCTGATTCCAAAGTGATAAAGAAAGTTAATATACAAGTGAAATCAATCAAATGTAGGAACAGAGCTCCTCAGCCTACAGTCACACTATATAGTCGAGAGAATATCCAACTGGTCCCACCCTTAAATTCTCTTAGGCATCTTCCAAACATCCCCATCATTAAACCATTGAACCTCCAGTCCTTAACTATTTGCATATCCCCTTTTTACACGTCCTTTTACACGTCCTTTTACATGTCCTTTTACATGTCCTTTTACACGTCTTTTTACACGTCCTTTTACACGTCCTTTTACACGTCCTTTTACACGTCCTTTTACATGTCCTTTTACATGTCCTTTTACACGTCTTTTTACACGTCCTTTTACACGTCCTTTTACACGTCTTTTTACACGTCCTTTTACACGTCCTTTTACACGTCTTTTTACACGTCCTTTTACACGTCCTTTTACACGTCTTTTTACACGTCCTTTTACACGCCCTTTTACACGTCCTTTTACACGTCCTTTTACACGTCTTTTTACACGTCTTTTACACGTCCTTTTACACGTCCTTTTACACGTCCTTTTACACGTCCTTTTACACTTCCTTTTGCCCTCCAGAAATGTAAATCCTTAACACATGTCTCTGTTAAACACATACAAGACTAAAAATACAATTTAACAGATTAAAAGGCAATCAGAGTATAAGACTACATGTTTTAAATGATTACATGATCATTTGACACGACAAGTGTTTGTCAGCAGCTTTCAAATCAAACTGCTCCACCTGTTAACAATCTGCTCAAAGACAGTTGGTCACCCTGTCAGAGACTTCCTGACTCAGCAGACCATAACAACCTGAGAGGCTCCAACAGCATCCTCTGGGACCCAAAGCATGAGAATCTGAACTGCTACCATCTGATGGAGATCCACTAAAGTCAGCCTGAAGCATCCTTTGTGCTCCAGTCTGGTTAGGGTTAGGGTTTAAAAAATAATGAAAACAAGGTGTTTTCACTTGAAATAAGTACAACGATCTGCCAATAGAACAAGTGAAAATGAGCTTGGTAAGAGAACTTGAAATAAGAAGGGATATCCAGATTAATCAGATCTTGTAATCAGCTGGAGAACTCATTGTGAACTATATTTGAGCAGAATCAGGAAATGTTGTTACAAAATACGTGTTCTGTTTTCTGATGCTAGTTGGTGATTTTCTAATAAATGTGTAAAAAAATATATTTCATCTGAGATACAACTCAAAATAAGATGTTTTGACTTAAAGGGGACCTATCACGCAAAATGCCCTTTTGTACGTCTTTTCTACATGAATATGTGTCCCCGGTGTTCCAGGGAACTCACCAAGTGTCAGAAAACACAACCCTCTCTATTTTCCTCCATACCCAAATCTCTAAAAAAGGGGCTGCAACGGATCTGATAAAAACTGATCCAGATTTGAACACTGTCCTGACGTCAGGACGGTGGCGCTACGGCTATTGGGCCAACTCCACCAATCAGGAGGAGACAGCCACGGCCATTGCCGTTCTAAAGCGCTGGAGACGCTGTAGTACATATGCCAGGCCTGTAGATGGTGCTGTTCTCACTGAATCTGCCCTTGCAAAAACAGAGCTAAAAAATGTCAAATTGAGCAAAATGAGGCATGGCTAAAATGCATGATTTGTTTGGTATTTTGAAAAGAAAAAAGTATAAATATGCCTTATATAGGTATGGTCCTACACTATATTATTATAATATAGCATGATAGGTCCACTTTAACAAGATGAAGCATTGTCTAAAAACAAGAGCCTGTATCTCACTGCAGTGTCACTTCTGAAGTGATTGTGTCTGATATCAGGAGGAGAGACACATTCTGACTAGATGTTAGACACATATATTGGGCAAGGTTTCAAGTTGGTGTCGTGTCTGTTGATGTTACACATGGAGCTGCTGTGATGCAAGTCACATTTCAGACTTGATCTGACCATTAAAGTATTATCGTATCGTATCATATAAGTGAGGTGTGAGGAAGAGGAGGAGGAGGAGGGGGACTAGATGAAGAAAAAAAAAAAGTTTTTTCTCACCTGGAGTGTAGCCCTTCCTCTCGATCTTGGCACTGAGGGAGATGGGACCTGAAGCACAGAACCAGCAGCAGAGCGTCTTCTCCTTGGACCCGGCCTGAGGAGACTGAAACACAACCATACACAGCTCAGTAACATCACACTCTGGGTTACAGGAGACTGACAGATGTATTTATATATTTTATACATCTGTATTATGTCTTAATGTGTGTTTGTTGTGCGTGCCTCAGATTATAAGGGTGAAGAAATACTGTGTTACAAGTCAAAGCAAAAGTCAAATGTAGTCAGGTTAGGGTAAAAGTGTGACATACCAATTGCAAGGAAGTTGACTGTTCTTACTTAAAATGCTACAGACTCACACTAAGAACAACGAAACACGACTACTGTATACAAAAACATGTGTATAAATATATATAAAAAGCACCAATGACCAGTGTATGTTCTGAGGTTGTATTTTAATAGTTTAAAGGGGACCTATCATGCAAAATGCACTTTTGTACGTCTTGTATACATGAATATGTGTCCCCGGTGTTCCAGGGAACTCACCAAGTGTCAGAAAACACAACCCTCTCTATTTTCCTCCATACCCAAATCTCTAAAAAAGAGTGTACATGCATGTGTTCTTTGAGAGAGATTCAGAGTGTGCAGAGAGTCGTACCAGCAGCAGCGGCGTGTTGATGTCGATGTGTTCGAACACGATGAACTCTTTCTTCACTTTGACCGGTAGCAGCCAGGGCCGGTGCAGCTCGGCCTTCACCCAGTACCGCACGCTGCCGTGCTTCCCCTCGAAGGACGTGGCCAGAGCCCTGAGGAACACCCAGACCATCATGCTTTAGTTTCAAATCGAGTCTGACGTGTTTCTTGCATCACAGCAGCAACAGACTTTTAAAAAAACCATCACAACCACTGAAGAGGAACCTGCTAAAGACCCCCGGTAACGGACATCAGATCTGGGATTAAAGTCCTCGAAGGAACGGGAAACTTATTTTCAGATTGAGTCTGACATGTGTCTTGCATCACAGCAGCTCCATTTGCAACACCAAACGAGAAGAGGAGGATACAGAGACACATATATTTAACAAACCATTACAACCACTGAAGTTTGTAATGGTTTGTGGAACAGTTTGGTGAGCAGCAGTGGAAGAAGTACTCAGTTGCTTCACTTTGTAAATATGGTCTTAAAATACCCCTAAAAAACGTTTGAATGAAAAATGAATAGGAGTCACTTACAGCATCTCATTTGATTAGGGATAATTAAAGTATTTCTGACACTGATTCTTCACCAAGTACAAGTGGAGAGGTATGATGTAGCAGTACATGTACACACTGAAGGAAAGTACCTTGAAGTTGTACTTGTACTTGAGTAAATGTACTATAGTACTCACATCTGAGGCAGGTTGAAGCTGAAGGCGAACTCGTGTAAACCGGCGTGTAAAACAGTCAGACCCTCCTCCGGACAGTCCTCGTCTGGAGGTTAGAAACACACATGTATGTAATAAATATCACGTGACGTTATCACACAGCAGACGCCACGTATCACTGAACATCAGAGGGTTTATCTACACCTGTTAGAGGATTAAAGTCAAGAAAGCAAAGTTAATGGTTAGTTTTGAGTCGTTTTGAGTCGTTTGTCATGAAGAAATGACCAGAAACTGCAGTTTGTCACTCCTTTAAATATGTAGATTTCCTGCTTTTATATATTTCATATCCAGATACACTGATGGATGTTCAAAGCAAACAACATGGAGACGTCTTACTGAAATATAAGGTTTTTTTGCTTCAGATTTGGCATTTTAATTCAGACGTCATGTAAATATTTTTAGGTTTTTATTTACATTTATTTTTTTACTTTGATTATTTCTGCTTCCGTATCATTTCTGACATAATTACAATTTATTTTATTTTGTATCTGTATTGAATGTTTTGCTACGTCTGTCTTCATATATTTTTTATAACATTTTTGTAGATTTTTATTATTTCATCTTTTATTTTTATGATTTTTATATTTTTCATTTTTATGAGATTTTTTATTTTTATACCTTTAATTTTATTATTGATTGTGTTGCTATTTTTGCTTTTATTTAATTTAGTTAAATTGTTATTAATTCTTGTTATTTCTGCTTTTATTTCATTAGATTTTTTAAACAATTTTTTTTTCTTGTGTTGTTTTTGCACTAACATTGCATGTGAAAACCTACTTGGCAACAAAACAACTTAATTCACATTTTTGTATCGCCGTATTTGAATAAAACCCACAATGTCCCCTGCATCAGAAGCAGAAGTAACACACCCTGTGGTCAAAAGAAAACTCGACCTCCGTCTACTTCCTCATTTCTGTTTGTGTTCTGCCACCTCAACACATTCAGCCTGCATCACCGCGCGTGTGTGTGTGTGTGTGTGTGTGTGTGTGTGTGTGTGTGTGTGTGTGTGTGTGTGTGTGTGTGTGTGTGTGTGTGTGTGTGTGTGTGTGTGTGTGTGTGTGTGTGTGTGTGTGTGTGTGTGTGTGTGTGTGTGTGTGTGTGTTCAGCAGGAGCAGACCGGTATGAACCAGCCTGAGCAGCCTCTTCAGCTGGAAACTCCAACCCCAACGCATGCACTACAACGTGACCTCCCATTGGTGGAGAAGTGTGATAATGTATTACATGCTGCGATCTGATTGGTCCAGTCCAGACAAGCCCTCCCCACATTTGTACATCCATGTGGTGTGTTGCACGAGATGAATAGTGGTGCGGGGGGACATTACTTCCATCTGATACTAACAGGTAGAAAACTCTCACGCAAAGTTGAATAAATGATGACAGGAGAGAAACGTCTTTCACACTCACAGCGTTTTATTTAAATCACATTTAAACACAAGAAATACAACATACACAAAGAAAACAGGAATATGCATTACGTTGTTATATCTTTTTGTACACTTTTAACATCTTAAACTTCGAAACAACTTATACAAACAATAGAAATCTCTTCAAAAGGTTCATTTCTGCAGGTTTCTATCAAATCCCATGGGCTTATTCATCACACTTTAGGGTTTATTTGACATTAATTTATAGATGTTGGTGTTAAAAAGGGAAGACACTGTCTATACTCATGTATGTTGCAGAGAAATCAATTCATATTTTCAGTTTTTCAAGCAGAAATGCCAAAAAAATAATCACTTTTTTGTCTCATTTGATAGTAAACTAAATATATTGTTATATTTTTCGTGACACGGAGGTTTTATCGAATTGTGACGGACATTTAATTCCATTTAATTGATAATAAAAACAACTAGTTACTGCTGTAATGTTAAACAAACTTCCTACTGGAATCTGATATTGATAAATGTATTTCCAATGTTCACAAAATGACGTAAACAAACCCTTGATATGGATCACGTCGTTCCTTTTCAACTTAATTGGGATGGTAGTTACATTTTCCAGTGTAAAACTCAACGGTGTAATGGAACCTAAGGTCATTATTTACATATGACCTTATTTTTAGGCCCTATTTACACGAGAACGAAATGGGAGCGTTTGCGTTTACGCACCGTATTCGTTTTCAAAAAAGTCTTCCGTTCACACGCATTCGGCTCATTTAACGTGTCCGTTCACACGAGAGCACTGGAGACGCTGTAGTACATATGCCGGGCCTGTAAGTAGCGTAGTAACTTCCGCCACAAAATACACCAAAAGCAGCGAGTATAATATCCCCCCCGGATGTGTAAGGCACAAACAAACAAGGTAGAAGATGGCTGATATTCATTTCATTCCAAACCTTTATTTATCCAGGTGTATCCCATTGAGACCATTGATCTCTTTTTCAAGGGAGACCTGCTCGCGTAAGAAAGGAGGTATTTTCGTGGACTGACGACGAGGTAGAACTTCTGCTTATGGTCACACTACCAAAATACAGGAGAATGTTGACTGGGAGTCCTGCAAGTCTAAATATAGCGAGATAGGGGACTTATTTCAGGCGCAGTATCCGAGGACCCCTACAGAGAAGGATTTCCCTCACGACTTGAACGCCATTACACAGGGCCAGCTTACCGCCTAGTTACAGCAAATCCGCATTAAGTACAGACATGCGGTGAACCTTAAGCGTCGGAGTGGCCAAGGATGTGTTGTGCTCATAAGGGGGTCATGATGTTTGTGTTTCACCAGTATGACAGAACAACGTGCATGATTCAATGGAAACGTGACAGACAGGTGTCATGGGTGAAGGAAAACCCATTAATGTGTATTTCCATTATCTATCATTGCTTGTAACTGTGTCACATTGCATTGACTACACTTACACCGGGTACATCGTTTTTTATTGAAAGATAAATAAACAATTTACCAATGTTTTAGAGTTGCGAGTTGCATCCTTGCCTTGTCAGCTTTCTTGATTAATCATATAAATGCATTTATTTTTACTTTTTGAGCAATGAATACAGGTGTCGTACAGGATGTCCAACGCATAATGTGATTATAATATGCAGAAATTAACTTTTACACCTCTGCTTCTCTATTTGAATTATTATTGTTATTAATATTAGAATCACAATTATTTTTGAATTATTAGTATTAGCGTTTTTTTTTAATTATTATTTATTTTAAATTGTATTATTTTTGTAAATTATTACAATTATTTGTATTTGTTTGTTTATTCTACTGAATCAAACAAAAATAAACCTTGTGTGGCATTCCTGTTCTGCATTAAATATTTATATATATACCAATATATCCTTATTCCACCCTAATCCAATAATTTAATTGTACTTATTTAAATGTGTTGGTATTTTTATTTAAGTCCCTTTACATTAACATTTACCTTGAGACTTGAAATATGAGTTGTTTTAATCCATTAGAATACAACCAACAGCTGCAGAAAAAGCCAACAAATGGACATTGTGGGCTTTTTCTGATTAAATAAAAGAATCCCTGAAAGTTAAATAACCTTTTTATTACTTCCTAACCTTTTACCCTGATCTCCATCTCATAATAAACACAACTCTGACAGGAAGTGCGTTCAGATAAAGACATTCAATCCTCCTCGGAGACTCCCTTTTTTTCTTCTTCATGAGGTCCAACAACACGTGTCCTTAAATGAACCCACTAACAGTTCATAGACCCTCACACTGGGAGTATTAAACTGGTGGAAATTGACGTCACATGGAGGGTTTAAATGAAATCTAACTGTTCTCTGGATCATCACGTGCATCTCATTTAACAAGTGAAAACAGAAAAGAACACAGGTGGAGGAGGAAGTGGTGAGAGGCTCAACAAGCAGCTGACACACACACACACACACGCACACACACACACACACACGTACACACACGTACACATACACTGTCAGCCGGGTCCTCCCCCCTCCTCTCTGGCAGTTTCTGAACAGGTTTGAACCGCTTCGAACAAAGGGAGTTGCCTTCTACGAGCCTAGCTTCAGGATGAATTCAGTTAAAATGTGTATTTCCCTTTTTACTTTGAGTAAATATTGCAAAAAACATGCGGAAAAACTAAATTTGCTTCCGATTCTGTCGCAATTTCGTTCCTTTTTACGCAAACGTGGACCACAACTTCTCTCCCTGTAGCTAACAGCACCTCAACATGTCTTACATCAGTCACAAAATGCCTTTTTATTCACCCTAACATGTAAAATGTGATGATCCATGAGTGTGTTCTACGTGAGGGGAAGCGCCGCGGAGTGCCTCAGCTGTTGCATCAGCACCACTCACTGATGGAGGTTTTGGTGCTCTGTTCGACTCGCTGTTATTAATAAAGTTTTGTGAGAAGTTTGCACATGTATGCTTACCTCTCTCCTCTCCTATCAGGGTGTCGTAGTGGTGAAGGTACTCCACCTCCTCGGTGTAGTTCTGGGTGTAAGCCGTGTTGGCCCCGGTGTTTCTAGACTCGGTCCACCGGACTTTTGCGACCCCTCGTGCGGTTACATCCAGACTTTTCACACGCACATCCCCGGTCACCTCCACCACCACCCTCCCAGACACCAGATCCCCCCCAGAGAAGGCCGGCAGGTTGTTATCATTCAGGCTGTCGAATAATATAGCCAAGACCCTCACTTTTCCCAGCCCCATGGTGAGAACACAATTATATTCAAAAAGAGTCTTTAAGTTGCGCGTAAAAGCGTTTGGCACATGCGCCTGACCTCCGGGTGCCCAAGCCAAAGAGCCGAGGGCGGCGGGGTGTTACGGTGCTCGTTCATCCGAGAGAGAGGCACCGCTGCTGGGCCAGCTGTACGCGAAGCTCCCGGTGTTTCTCTCTCTCTTCGGTCCTCTGTCTGCTGCCGGCTCCCGCTGCCGCGAGCTCTTAAAGCCTCCGTGCGCAAAAATAATCTCAACTGAGCATGTGCGCAGCCACCAGCCGCCACACACACACACACACACACACACACACACACACACACACACACACACACACACACACACACACACACACACACACACACACAGTTCAGACTTTTTAGTGTTTACAAATACTGAGAGTAGGGTGTGTCTTCTAAGGATATTTACTGATTTACTGAAATACACTTCTAATAAATGGTGGAAGAAGATATTTAACTAAAGTATATCAGTATGTAGTGTCTCTACTTTAAAGAGTCCTCTCCTGCTGATGTTCAGGTGTATATCAGTATGTAGTGTCTCTACTTTAAAGAGTCCTCTCCTGCTGATGTTCAGGTGTTATCTCAGTATGTAGTGTCTCTACTTTAAAGAGTCCTCTCCTGCTGATGTTCAGGTGTATATCAGTATGTAGTGTCTCTACTTTAAAGAGTCCTCTCCTGCTGATGTTCAGGTGTATATCAGTATGTAGTGTCTCTACTTTAAAGAGTCCTCTCCTGCTGATGTTCAGGTGTATATCAGTATGTAGTGTCTCTACTTTAAAGAGTCCTCTCCTGCTGATGTTCAGGTGTTATCTCAGTATGTAGTGTCTCTACTTTAAAGAGTCCTCTCCTGCTGATGTTCAGGTGTATATCAGTATGTAGTGTCTCTACTTTAAAGAGTCCTCTCCTGCTGATGTTCAGGTGTATATCAGTATGTAGTGTCTCTACTTTAAAGAGTCCTCTCCTGCTGATGTTCAGGTGTATATCAGTATGTAGTGTCTCTACTTTAAAGAGTCCTCTCCTGCTGATGTTCAGGTGTATATCAGTATGTAGTGTCTCTACTTTAAAGAGTCCTCTCCTGCTGATGTTCAGGTGTATATCAGTATGTAGTGTCTCTACTTTAAAGAGTCCTCTCCTGCTGATGTTCAGGTGTATATCAGTATGTAGTGTCTCTACTTTAAAGAGTCCTCTTCTGCTGATGTCCAGGTGTATATCAGTATGTAGTGTCTCTACTTTAAAGAGTCCTCTCCTGCTGATGTTCATGTTAATATCAGTATGTAGTGTCTCTACTTTAAAGAGTCCTCTCCTGCTGATGTTCAGGTGTATATCAGTATGTTGTGTCTCTACTTTAAAGAGTCCTCTCCTGCTGATGTTCAGGTGTATATCAGTATGTAGTGTCTCTACTTTAAAGAGTCCTCTCCTGCTGATGTTCAGGTGTATATCAGGATGTACTGTCCCTACTTTAAAGAGTCCTCTCCTGCTGATGTTCAGGTGTATATCAGTATGTCGTGTCTCTACTTTAAAGAGTCCTCTCCTGCTGATGTTCAGGTGTATATCAGTATGTAGTGTCTCTACTTTAAAGAGTCCTCTCCTGCTGATGTTCAGGTGTATATCAGTATGTAGTGTCTCTACTTTAAAGAGTCCTCTCCTGCTGATGTTCAGGTGTATATCAGTATGTAGTGTCTCTACTTTAAAGAGTCCTCTCCTGCTGATGTTCAGGTGTATATCAGTATGTAGTGTCTCTACTTTAAAGAGTCCTCTCCTGCTGATGTTCAGGTGTATATCAGTATGTAGTGTCTCTACTTTAAAGAGTCCTCTCCTGCTGATGTTCAGGTGTATATCAGTATGTAGTGTCTCTACTTTAAAGAGTCCTCTCCTGCTGACGTTCAGGTGTATATCAGTATGTACTGTCCCTACTTTAAAGAGTCCTCTCCTGCTGATGTTCAGGTGTATATCAGTATGTACTGTCCCTACTTTAAAGAGTCCTCTCCTGCTGATGTTCAGGTGTATATCAGTATGTAGTGTCTCTACTTTAAAGAGTCCTCTCCTGCTGATGTTCAGGTGTATATCAGTATGTAGTGTCTCTACTTTAAAGAGTCCTCTCCTGCTGATGTTCAGGTGTATATCAGTATGTAGTGTCTCTACTTTAAAGAGTCCTCTCCTGCTGATGTTCAGGTGTATATCAGTATGTAGTGTCTCTACTTTAAAGAGTCCTCTCCTGCTGATGTTCAGGTGTATATCAGTATGTAGTGTCTCTACTTTAAAGAGTCCTCTCCTGCTGATGTTCAGGTGTATATCAGTATGTAGTGTCTCTACTTTAAAGAGTCCTCTCCTGCTGATGTTCAGGTGTATATCAGTATGTAGTGTCTCTACTTTAAAGAGTCCTCTTCTGCTGATGTCCAGGTGTATATCAGTATGTAGTGTCTCTACTTTAAAGAGTCCTCTCCTGCTGATGTTCATGTTAATATCAGTATGTAGTGTCTCTACTTTAAAGAGTCCTCTCCTGCTGATGTTCAGGTGTATATCAGTATGTTGTGTCTCTACTTTAAAGAGTCCTCTCCTGCTGATGTTCAGGTGTATATCAGTATGTAGTGTCTCTACTTTAAAGAGTCCTCTCCTGCTGATGTTCAGGTGTATATCAGTATGTACTGTCCCTACTTTAAAGAGTCCTCTCCTGCTGATGTTCAGGTGTATATCAGTATGTCGTGTCTCTACTTTAAAGAGTCCTCTCCTGCTGATGTTCAGGTGTATATCAGTATGTAGTGTCTCTACTTTAAAGAGTCCTCTCCTGCTGATGTTCAGGTGTATATCAGTATGTAGTGTCTCTACTTTAAAGAGTCCTCTCCTGCTGATGTTCAGGTGTATATCAGTATGTAGTGTCTCTACTTTAAAGAGTCCTCTCCTGCTGATGTTCAGGTGTATATCAGTATGTAGTGTCTCTACTTTAAAGAGTCCTCTCCTGCTGATGTTCAGGTGTATATCAGTATGTAGTGTCTCTACTTTAAAGAGTCCTCTCCTGCTGACGTTCAGGTGTATATCAGTATGTACTGTCCCTACTTTAAAGAGTCCTCTCCTGCTGATGTTCAGGTGTATATCAGTATGTACTGTCCCTACTTTAAAGAGTCCTCTCCTGCTGATGTTCAGGTGTATATCAGTATGTAGTGTCTCTACTTTAAAGAGTCCTCTCCTGCTGATGTTCAGGTGTATATCAGTATGTAGTGTCTCTACTTTAAAGAGTCCTCTCCTGCTGATGTTCAGGTGTATATCAGTATGTAGTGTCTCTACTTTAAAGAGTCCTCTCCTGCTGATGTTCAGGTGTATATCAGTATGTAGTGTCTCTACTTTAAAGAGTCCTCTCCTGCTGATGTTCAGGTGTATATCAGTATGTAGTGTCTCTACTTTAAAGAGTCCTCTCCTGCTGATGTTCAGGTGTATATCAGTATGTAGTGTCTCTACTTTAAAGAGTCCTCTCCTGCTGATGTTCAGGTGTATATCAGTATGTAGTGTCTCTACTTTAAAGAGTCCTCTCCTGCTGATGTTCAGGTGTATATCAGTATGTAGTGTCTCTACTTTAAAGAGTCCTCTCCTGCTGATGTTCAGGTGTATATCAGTATGTAGTGTCTCTACTTTAAAGAGTCCTCTCCTGCTGGTGTTGATGGCTCTAATAAAGGAACATGAGTCCCTCTAGTGGACGAAGAGCTGCTGTGACATTATTCTCTAAAAAAAGGGGAGTAGTTTAACTGCAACACAAGATTAAAGTAAAGTATAATAATCTTAAAATGACATGAAAAATAATACTTTTAAGATAAAACATTTATAAATAAAATATAAAAGAATATCCTATAATGAGAAAATAATAATAATAACAATACAAAATAATTTAAAATTAAATGTTAAATGTAACTTTGGAAAAATTAAGATAATCATGTCATAAGAAAAAGATAAAAATAAATGATCAATATAAAAATTATTAAAAAAAATCTAATATAATATGATATATTTTATATTTAAAATAATATAAATTAGAAGTAACTAATAAATACATTTGAAAAATACAGATATGAAATGTACATTAAAAAAACATGTGACACTAATCATGTAAACATAACAAATAATAAATGAATAACCTAAATAAAAAAATAATAATAAATAAACAAATATACAAATAAATAAATAACAACAATATGAATATAGGCCTGCACAATAAAGACTTTACACATGGCGAATAACATTTGATTTGAACACATTTTTAAAAAACTTACATTTTTAGATGAGAACTTTTTCTCTGGTCCAGAATTTAAATTTAAATATAAATACCAGAAACCTGTTTTTCATCTTCTTCTTCATGAAAGTGATCCAGAGAGACTCAGCTCTCACTGCAGACAGATCAGTCTGCACGCGACTTTAAAGCTCCCATGTCATGCTTTTCCGGTTATTACCCGTCCCCTTGTGTGTTATGAAGGTTTTTATGCATGTAAACGGTGTGCAGAGTCAAAACCCTCAAAGTACACCCTGTAGCAAGTAAAACTCTAACACAGAAAATACCTCCCCAATACGCCTCGTTGGAGATACGTCACTGCCCATTTGATTCTTCCGGGTACCGCCTGATGTCATGCGGTACCCGGAACGAAATGGACCAATCCCGAAGAGCTATGGCCACACCAGCAGCGGCGTGTTCCTCCTCCAGAGGTTCGAAGAACCGGCATTTCACAGACGAAAGCTTCCAAAACATTGCCCAGTTTGAGGCCGGATATGCACAGCTTGTTTGGACCGTTTGGAGCAGGGGAAGATCTGGGTATACAACCTGTAAGTTTGCATTGTTATTTGTGTATTTATCAAACAAGACTGTTTAAATGTGTAAACTGTGTTGGACTGCTAAGCCATTGACACAGTGCTAACTGTGCTAACTAAGTTGCTAGCGTTTCCATATATCAACTCTAATATCAGCAGATGGCCTTGCATACATGTATCTCATAGCAGGAGAATGTCTGCATTCACACACACGGAATACTCATACAGTATACTGTACTGTGATTTACCGTACATTGTGACCGTACATATACTGCATGTAGCTAACGAGGCTAGCTGTATGCTAGCGCAAAACAATGTATTCATGCAAGTTACATTGTATGGTAGCAGAATACCCGTATACGATTGCAATTATAAACACGTTATTGCTAGCCTAATATGAACCACTAGCTTTTG